TACGGTTAACTAATAGTAACGATGCTTGAGGCAGTGTAAGTGAAGCTTTCCACGCCCAGAAGTAAGTTTCGGTGTGCCATAGGCGTTTGCAGTGGGGTTTCTATTATAATTATCAATCTCATTATGTCAGCGAGCCTTGTAGTTGCCATACACTTCTCATGGTGAATACGTATTTGGTTCCTTTCATGGCAGATTGCATAACGAATGAAAAATATGATGAAGGACATAAGCTTCACCAAAAATGCATCAGTCTGGCTACACCAGTCCATATCGACGACCAGATGGAGAAATATGGTTTTGAAGTGTATCTGTGACCGGTAATCTCTACAATTCAGGTATTCTATACAAAACCTAGGCAATAACACCTGGGTTGCCCAGGCAATGTATGAAATGTTATGAATATTATTATCCATTACATACTTTACCTAGGTAATGAATACAATTCCTAGGGATTGTATAGAGTACCTGTTGTTCCACCGGCAATGTGTATAATAGATAGATCTTGGTCTAAATTTATCAATGTTAACAGGTATACCTATAAAATGATGGGCAAATGAAAGGAGTTATATTATTTAAAATCAATTTTCTTAAAATTAACAATTAGAGTGCTTCTTAAAAATAAGCTTTATGAAAAGGGTACAAGAAAAGCACCTCTCTGTTGCTAAAGTAAAATTTGATGTACAAGGACAAGGACGCATTTCGTTTATTGCCTGCCTGCCGGTACGGACAACCCGTTCCTTGCTCTCGTCTTTTACATACATTACCGGCTGCGCATTTGGTATTGTATAGAATACCTAGGCAGAGTATAAAACAAATAATATTTTATACATTACCTACACGGTTTAGGTATTCTATACATTACCTAGGTATAGTATAGAATACCGGATTATACAGATTGCCGCTAACATATCCAAAAGAAAGCAATTTTACAGAAACGACATGACGAAGCATAGAAAATTAAAGAAAAATTTTAGTATTACTGGGATTCGAACAGTATATCTCCAGACATTTTCGGTTGTAGTACTCCCATTTTCTAGGTTCTTTCTCAAAAAGCAACAGCAGGTCTTGCAAACGCTATAACTCTTCGCCACTCTGTTTTAATGGGATATGGAAGGTTTTAGTTTGTTTCCAACAATGTTCGCGGATTTCTTGTATCAAACTTAGACATATCCTATGCTATACAATTTTGACCATCATATGAGGTAATAATTGCGTCTAGGTGTTGGACCAACGTTGGCTTCGGTGAGATAGTTGTAGCAATCTGTCAGTAATGCTAGGGACTGGTGTAGCCAGACTGATAGCAGCTTGCTGCTCAAAGAGGGGCAGTTCTTACTTACAAAAAATACTGTTCAGTAGTTGAAAATACAGTATCCAATTTGTGAAGGCCAAAACCCTTGCTCTTCAGTCACTTGATAAGAAGAATAAACGTTTTCTGGTTCTGGATTAGCTTTAAAGTACAATTCGAGATAAAAAGAGCTAACAGACATACAAACAGAAAGCGAATACTGACAAGGCTTCGACAATGAACAATAACTATAATATTGGCGGATAATCAAAAGGAGGATGTAGAATGGAATCCTAAACACATTCCGTATTTGCGTTGCATTATATGTTATGCGTGTTATTTGAATACTTTGTATTTTAGCATTCAATATGATCTAGTAGTACATGTATGGCTTCTTGTTTAGGAACTATCACTTTCTCTAAATTTTATACTATAGCCAGCATGTATCCTTTCTTTTTATTCAAAAGCGATGTTACTTTATAAATGGAACAAGTGAAGGCGCCCATTTTATAATTTTAACTGCATTCATTATTTATGATAAATATACCTATCTAATTTACTATCGTCACCGCTCTTTAAGCGAATGCCCTCCAAGGGAAAAATCGTCGCAATCTTTGGTTATATAAATAAACTGCAACTGATGCGACTTCATAAAATAAAGTGTATCTGTGTTGAATCTATCTTACTCTTCTGTTTCACGAGAATGTGGTAGTAAAACATTCAGCTCCAATCCGCTTGCCGTACCAGTCCATGTTATAAACGATAATTTAGCACTCCAAAGAGATAAGACACCGAAATTTATTCTATGCAGCATTGAAGTAATCAAGAATAAACATTTTGCACTGCTAAGAGTTTCAACATTTATTCAAATTATTTCGCCAACAGACAGACTATATTAAGGGTGCTAATAGATGAGATGTACCCCTGGATCTAGTAGGTGGACACGCCCATGTACGCACACTAGTTTGCGTGCGTATGCTTGCCATCCACTCGATACTTACTTCTAAATGGGAAAATTGCTACGTATTTAAAAATCGACGACTTGATTAAAGAAAGTAGATGAAATGAGCCTGACTAGGATGTTGTCGCTCCAAGTGCTCTACATTCGGTAGCAGCATTCTATGGCGGCGGCAGGAAATCTTGGATATTAATTATATATACGCGAGATTCCGGGTCGGTGACAGGATCTGATGGTAATTTAGCCAAAGCAATTGGTTGTTAACAAATGCCGAACTGTAAAGTGTTCCGTGAATTTGGATGATTTTTTGAACCTCCACACAAAGCTCCACATTCTCGATCACACACGTAAAAGACGCAACTATAGAAAACGGAGACAAGTAGGCCTACTCTGCACGCTTTCACCAGTTCCTGAGATTTAGCCCTTCTTAGCTACGAACATGCATATCGAAGGAATTGAAATTAATATCAAGTCAGTCGAATAGGTCCATGGAACTAGTTCCCAGTCACTACAAATTTGACAACGCTGCGATCTAGAAGATTCTTCTCTGATGTACAATGTTGCGATCAGAGTTGACATGAGTAAACTGCTAGCGGCACCATCTAGGTCGCAATACGTTCACTTCTGTTTTATGAATTTCTAAGATTCTAGTACGAAAATGTTGACTAGAAATTATTTTCTGACTTCGGACCATAGTATTAAGTCAGCTACGTACATTTTAATTATCCGTTATCTAATGGAATAGTCGCTTATGACAAAACTATGCATATGTTATTCTGTGATGACCAGCAGCATTGTTATAATCTATCGCATAATAAGCTGCATAATTAAAGGATTAGCTTTTATGGTTCTCAAGTATTGACGGCTCTGAATATAACATTCGATTTAAACATCACTTTTGCTTTCCGACGATGATTTATTTATGGGATGCCTGATTATCAAAATTCAATTGAAAGACTGCCAAAAATGAATCCCTTAATTTTTTCTATTTATTCGGATTAGGGAACAAAGAACCGGTAAGTGGTTTTACAGAAAACCGGGAATTTCAGAACTATCTGAGGGAAGAAACAGCATTTTTGGGATTGTCGGGTCAAATTCAGTTTCGTGTGAAAATCAAGTTGAAATAGACTGCTGAGAGGTTCACTCAAATTCCATGCCAAATGTTTGGCCCAAACTTGCCGATAGTATGCGAACGAGAGTTAAGACTTTAAACAAGACAACTTCCTATTTTTATTAAGAAGTTAGTTATACTATGCTATACTAATATTTCAGTCCTTAAAGTACCAAAATAATCAAGAATAGGTTTCTCGATCCCGTTTCTTTAATTCGATTCGAATTATACAAAAGCCCTGACTCTTTTGAGCTCTAGTATGCTCTGTTTGAAGCTTCACTATCTTGTCGACTGCGGCCCCAAAATGATACGCAGAACAATCCTTGACAATATCTCAGCTTAACCTGTCAAGCAATGGAAAGAACTATTTCCTTATTTGTTTTTAGAATGGATTTGATGCACGAATATTAGAACTATTATCAAGCTCGGAGCCAACAAAAGAGTGCGATATTTTATATAGGAATTGGTACAGCGACGGTGACTGCTAATCACGTTAAACAATGAGAATGGGTACTTTGATGGCTCATTACTCTTGGACATTGTATTTATACTACTTATCCATAGATGAATCTTTAACCTTTTGACAACTTAATTTTTTTTTTGTTCCATTCAAAAGCGATTATAATTACTACAGTAATTTAAGGAGCAGTCTACTTGACATCCCCTTGCAAGTAATCTTTTTGTAAAAGTAGTCATGCAGTATGATATATTGTAGAATAAATATTATGGCATAGGCGTCAAGAATACCAGGTAACATAGTGAACATTCAAATGTGCTCCTGGTAGTAATAAATTCAAAATTCTTCCAGAGTTTTCCAGGCAACTTCGTTTGTAGCAATTTGATGTGATTAGCCTTTTTGCCAAAATTTTTACATTTTTATCTATTTTAACGCTAATACAAAATTAGGACTCTTTAAGATTGTATACCCAAGTAGATACTTAATTTTTTAGAACTGTGGGTATGCATGTTTAAGGGCAACTAAAGTGATGAGCTAGAAGCTGGGTGGATATCAGGTACACTAACTACATTAACAATACATGAATTTTAAATATAAAATTTATTAAACGGTATCATAACAATAAATATTTTTCATGTCTATTAAATATTTACATGGTAGAATTATGATTTCTTGATGATGATAAAAAACGATTTTAATAAAATGACCGTTGTAGTGGAATAATAATAGTTACACCTTTATCTACTTGAATTCGTAGTTCCGTTAAGAGAAGTGTCTGAATGCGGTCACAGTATCTTTGAACTTGGTTGAAACGCAAATGCCTGGATACCTAATGCTTAGCACTTGCCAGCTATGGATGGCACAACACCTCTCAGGTAATGTACAATAAATATGAATAAATTTGAGGTAGTCTGTGACCAGCGAGTCAATTCCTGAGCACAGTAGAATAGAATACTTCCTGGGGAATGATTCCAGATTCTAACAGCTAGGTTCTTCATATCTCATTAAACAATTCATCACACTGTTAGCTTCGAATCTCGAAATGAGACTGATGGAGAACGGCAACATTTATGCACTTTTTTCCAAGAATGACTCGGGAAATAACTGCCATATCAGTGTTCAGCAAGACAAATCCCCTAAAGATGAGAGAAGCTCACCTACCCTCTCCCAGTTATTCTACTCCATCGTTTCAAGAATTAACCCTTGGTGCATAAGCACTATTGACTCCTTTGGCCAACATTAAGGGCTGATCAATTTTAGTTAGTTAACGTTATCACAATGTACAGTCAAACGCATCGTTTACACAAGGGTGTGGTAATCCATTCCCAAACCGACATCTGGCTCCATCGCAGATCTACTCCAATGTGGTGCAACCTGTGGCACAATTTCGTAGCTCACTTTGGAATGGCCTTGCGCAGCTGTTTCCACCAAATTCTTCAATCCAATCGCTCCAGCAATGGTCAATGCAGTTAAGCCAGCCCCCAAGCCCTTGAATGCTACGATGGCAACGATGGAAAGGAGGATGGGGAAGATTATCGAAGCTTTCAGTTTCAGGATCAGCAGCAATGGGAGAATAAGCTTCCGGATCTTGCGGCTACGAGCTTCTGCAACGGAATATTATGAAATAAATAAATAGTTATGAGCCACACGCAACTTAGCCTCCTAACAGTAAATTACGTAACTGGGTTGCGAAGTGAGCCATGTTTAGTCTAGTACTTTCATATGTTGAGGAGCATAGACTTCTATAAAGCTAAGGGACGCAAATTAATGCAATGTGTAGAAGATTTTGCCAGCGGATTGGTTCAATCGAGTTTCAGGGGAGAGCAAAATAAAGACGTCGGTTGGACGATGTAATGGATCAGCTGGCAAGCCAAATCTGCTCTCTATTGAATTCTCATGACTTTGCCAGTTTGAAAGATGTGACAAAGTATTCGTAAAATCTTATAAAATTGAACGTATCGATCAGTGTTAGTATCCCCGGCGCTATAAATATAGAGAAGTGCTCGAGCAATAATAGATTACTTCTCTACCTAGATATTTATTTTATTTAATTGTAGCTATTGTAGCTATTGAAGAACGAAATGGAGAGTTTCATATTGTTTCTTCGCTAGCAATTGTCGTAACTTTTCGTAATTCCAAATTTGAGTATCTATCCTGTTTCGCCGACATTAAAAATTTATTACGATACACCTGTAGCAACAATTTTTTTACAATTACAATTATTTTACTTGTTCCTGCAACAGTAGGTGGTGCTTAAACTCTAAAACCAAATCTATTTACCAAAAATCGTAAACTCGTCGCAGTAATCGAAAGTTATAAAAGTGCACAAACAAACACAGTGCAATCATCTAGCATTACAACACCCAAACAATAAATATCCTCATACATAAGAGTGTTGAAGATTATGCAATGCTAATAGCCGGCGACATAATGAGCGCTGTGCAACGCAAATAACAATGACCGACCTCTCTTGAACTTGGGAGCTTATGATTCTGCCGACTTCGACTTCAGTACGCTGCTTTCGGTAGCGTAGCGGTGCGGTGTCAGGAAGATTTACAATACGCTCTCAGCGCTATTAACACGTCTTTCTGTCCGATCTTTAGCAGGTCGATAATTGTAGAGCTTGTGGCAAAAAGAGACCTAAGCCTCATCCACTTTATTTCGGGAAATATGATGTTACAAGTTATATGTGGATCCTGAGATCACGTTTTTCGTTTAACTTCCATCGAATCGCTATGACAGGCTTACGTTTGGGGAAGTTTTGATTTGGTGACCCATAATTGATAAATTATTGTGTGGTAGTAATGGTAATGATGGAGAGGCGAAGCCTGGTATTTAGGCCACCTTTGACCATATTTGCTGACCCCGTTGCACCACAGTTATCTGATTATTGAATAAATTCCCGGGCTAATTAGTCCGATGCGTCTTCGCAACCGTAATTTGTTTTTGAAAACCATGTGCCTTAGTGACTTATTGCTAGGAAAAAATGTACTATCTGGATAAATTAGGCATATTATAAAGTTTAGGTGTTCACTGTAATGGAACTGAAACAACGCACTTTCTCGAAATTGCCGAACTCCTTGTCTAAACGTCTTTTACAGGACAAGTATAGAGTCTTAGATACGTTTTCTGTTGCGAAAAGATTATCAGTATTTCTGAAGGCTGAAGGTCCCAAGACACGCACATCAATTCATCTGTTGAAGTGCATAGTCCGTTCAATACAAAACGTACACATCTTTGACAGGTACTTACAAGTCATTTTCTAGTGGTACTGCAATTCTGCTACAGAAAACAGCTTTCTTACGTAGTAAAAATGAGGCCATATTTACAAATTGTTAACACTGCCCTATCGAAGCTGCTATCAGTGTGTCGAAAGTCTCTGTTCTTCAAACTATCATCTGAACTAACAATAAGATGAAAACTGTTTTATTTTTCCATACGACTAGAACATCCCACTGTTTTCACCAGCAATCTCCGTTTGCCATTCATCTTGGAGATTTAGTTGCTTATAACCTTCTTGTATGTAATATGTTTGTTATCCAAAAACACCCCTTAGGGATTATAGCACCATCAATAGTCGGATAATTTTGGACAAAGATGCGCACACCACGGCTGCGTTTATATGGAAATGTGATTTTTTATTCAAATGTAGATTTTGTTCCTTAATGCACCGAGCATCACTTTCACAAAGGTATGAATTTGATGCAGAAATGTCAAACTGCTTTCTTGAAAATTCGGTCACAAAATTAAGGTAATTTGCATATTAATGTGAAAATAGCACCGTCTATATATTTTTGAACTATTGAAAAGCTGTCAATGCCGTGTGTTGTTCAGCTCTTGGATGCTCAACAAAATCTGGTAAATCAAAATTACAATAAAAAATATAATAGTTATATATATATATATAGTATTTATAGTTAACTGCCTTAACTGTTAGGAGAAGATATCCTTTAATTTCTTTGGGTAGAAGGCAAAGTATTGCAAAAGTACACTCTTATAACTTAAAATCTCAAGCTTTCGAAGATATCTTCATCGTCTGGAGTAAGTCGGCGAGATTGTTGCTGAAATTGTTTTTAAACAACAGTGAAGGGAACACAGTCGACGAATAAAAAACTGGACTGATGAGGTTCGATTAGGATGAAATTATTTTATTATTAAATGGCAAATCATTTTGAAAGGATTTTTTTAAAGATAAGCGTTGATTGATTTTGGAAGAAATTTGGAGATATATATATATATATATATTATATGTTTCGCGTATTTTATTTACACCTCCGTTTAATTTGGTTTGAATGTTTTATAGAAGGAGATGCATTCTAAGGGGTGTATAATATTTTTGAAAAAACCTCAACTGAGTATGATCAAGAATAGAAAAAACAAAATTAAATTGTGAAACCCAGTGAAACTTCTAAAAGTCAACCTGTTTATATTATTTTGTCTTTATAAAGGGTAAGAAGAAGATGCAAAGCTTATTTTCAAAATTAATTGTAATTTCGCGACACACAGATGCTATTTGACTGGAGTTATTGATAGGTATGGTTTAAAACGTTGATCTTACTTGGAAGATGCTTACCTGCGCTAGGACCACAACTCAGAAAACTACGGAAAACAAAGTTTCTTAAATCTTGATGCCAGTTCATATCTACTTCTGGTATCTGCTTCTGATTCAACCCGATGTATAACCATTTTAGCCCAATTGTCTTAGTAAAACAATCAAACTTTGAAATGATGCTCTATAAATAGCTTTGTAAAAAAAATATGCTTATGAGCAAGACCGTGCTTATGCATTGTCATCACCAATATACAACACCTAATGATTGTGATTAATATTTGCCCACAAAATAAAAATGGCGCATATGTTGGCTCTTCAGGTAAAAAAGCCTTCTTATGAATTCATGGACTATTTGTCAGTATTATTTTCAATCTCATGGTTCATATCCGTATCGATACTGCTTTCCTCAATCTTCCTTCCATTCTTCTTAATTCATACATGTTGTGGTAGTTATTTAGAATCAAAATAAACGTAGAGATCTTTCTGCTCTGATACAAATGTGATTAATTAAAATGATGCATCTTTGGTTATGTCTGTTGTCTGCTCTAAGCAAATCCGTATTCAGACCATATCGGATAAATAATTGTAAAACCGACATATTTCGCTAACATACAAAGCCTCGATTAGCAGATGTTAAGAGCTTTATATTATTAACCATGTGACATTATTACTGTGCATCTTATAGATGGAATGAAATGCAGCAGCATTTTTTTACTATTTAGATCCGTACATTGTACGTTTTAAAATACGTAGTTATACAGTGCTTTTCTTTAACGTCCCCCTCCCCTTTGATTGAACAAATCAATTCAATAAATTAAAACTTGAGGTAATGAAAGTGATGCGTGAATACCACATTTTAGAGTAAACTTGGTAGATAAAAATGTCAAGATCGCCGCTGGGCGCCATGTTGGAAAAAAAATTATATGAAAACGGGGGTCTTGTGGCACATCATTTTGAAGCTCCTGACGAGTACTTTATAACCCTAGAATATAAAGTCGATACCTTTACCTACTACAAAATGGTGGTACATTTAATAATTACTTGAACAAAAACCCACTAAAATATATATCTCTCCAAATAATTGTCATTCCCTGCCGTATCCACAGCAACAGCGATAAAAACTTGTTTTTTTATTTTTTGTTGACAGTGACAAGAATATCAGTATGAAAACAAACATCATTGTACAGTTAAAATACTCTTATTTAGTTTCTTTTTTTAGTGTTATATACTGTTTCACCTATTTTTAAAATGGTCAGTTCTCGTCCATTGGACTTAAAATTTAGCGATTTTTATTTATGGTGCGACGCGTAACTTTCAGGGGACCGAAAGGATTTTTAATGATCGTTTCCCGAATCGTCCTATCTGTAGAAAATATTTAAGGGAACTTGTATGTAAATTTACAGCTACTGGTAGTGTAAACAACAAAAAGGGGTGATCCCGGAAGAAAATCAAGTTCAAATAATTGGTGAGATCCTAGTAAATCCCCAACAGTCTACTTCCTCCATCGTGAATGTATGTGAGGTTTGTCCTTCTACTGTATGGAGACTTTTGAAAAATAATAAGTATCACCCATACAAAATTCGAATGGTATATCAGCTAACTGAAGATGACCCTGATCGAAGAACAGAATTCTGCGAGACTATGACGGAAACCATTGCACGGCATCCTACCTATATCCAAAATATTTATATTAGTGATGAATGCACATTTTTTCTCAGCGGCAATGTGCTTGGACAAAATTGTCGTTATTGGAGGACACCAATCCTCACGTCTTCCGGAAAACTCATACTCAATAGCCACAAACAATTAACGTTTGGGCTGGGATATTGGGAAATCATATTGTGGGGCCTCTATTCATCGAACAAACTTTAACTTGATAACTGTATTTGGATATGCTGGAAAATACTATTGACCCTCTAATCACCGAAATCGTTGAAGCGAATCCTAATGAATTCGTTACAGATATTGTATTTCAGCAAGATGGAGCTCCGCCACCCTACTACAGACAAGTTAGGAACTATTTAGATAACAATTCCCCAGGTCGTAGGATTG